AGCTCCCTTGCTAAGAAAGAACCGAGAGTGACAATTTTCAGTGGCTTGGTTAGCGAAGGCGTTTTTGATTTACCTGTTATTGTTGAATCTCCTTGCTTAGTGGCCAGAGCCATGGCAGCAGTGTCGGGCGTGGGCCGCTTTCATTCTTTGGGGTGGGAGGCGGTCAAGCAGCAGCCAGTCACGCCAGTCTTTAAGAGTAAAGAGGCAGAGGAAAGGCTTTCACATTTCCCCAGTTTGATCCAATCTCTCTCTGGAGTCATTTCCTGGCTGTAGGTTAGAGGCGCGTTTAAAAGTGCATTTAGCTTGTCTTCAACTGAAGAAAGAGGAGAAAAAGCTGGAGAAATCAGCCCCGGAGTTGAAGTCTAGGAATTTGCAGAGACAGCTATGGAGTTATGGAGCTATGGAGATGGAGGCAGATAAAGCTATTAGAACGTGTCAGTGTAAGTTAGCTGGTAAGTCAGGAGTGTTCTTTTGTGGAAGATGGTTTGGTCTACGGAAAGGTTGAAGGCGCTATCGAGAGCATATGAGCTCTGTGTGTGAGTGGATGTTAGTGGAGGAATTTAAGTGTGTCAGAGATTACTGTGGTTAATAGAAAAGAAAAAGTAACCGCTATTTCATCCGGCGAGTTTGCACGCACCCACAAAAACATTTTTAATCTGCATGATTCCTCCCAATGTGACTCTTCCTTCCACTGTACCACAGAACAGGTGATGTGCATGTGACACTGATAATGATGCTTCGCCGGGTCAAAAGGGTAAGGAACTCTGTTTATTCGTTGGAGGGTCACCTAATTTTTGACTGTGTGACATGTAAACAGCAGGGTCCAGCTTTAAAGCAGCCAAATGGGATAGGGTACGTTAAAAAGTGTCTCCAGTAGCCAGCCACCTCTTCAAAATGTTTCAAACCATCTTGTGTCACTCAAAAGCTGAGGTTCAATGTCCGGTCACTGGTCATTTTTAATGTGTTACTCCCCACAACCCCTGGACATTCTGGGGACGTAACATTGTCCAAATAACTGCAGCTCAAGCACACTACCACTGACACAACACAACGCTTTATACTAACTCGATATAGTTAACCTACTGAGTCATATTGAGTTCAAGGATTTATCTGATATCATCACCTAGTCAGTGAGTCCCAGAAGTGAGGCAAAACACCAAAGCATTCTGGTCTGTAATCAGTGTGTGCCCTTTTATCAGAAAGCAGAGAAGGGACGTGACTCAGTGCCTTCTAATAATAACAATAATAATGCATTACATTTATATAGAGCTTTATCATGGAAACTCAAAGCACTTCACAGTGAAGTTGGGGGGGCTCACCTCAACCACCACCAATGTGTGGCACCCACCAGGGTGATGCACGGCAGCCATTTAGCACCAGAACACTCACCACACATCAGTGTAACGTGTAGCCTATAGCACAGAGGTCACCAATTTGCGGGCCGCGGTCCGTATCTGGACCCAGCCGTTGTCCTCTCCGGACCCAGACCAATAGCCGATTTATTATTGAGAATTACCACCTTGTGATTGTTTTCTATTTTAACCCGCTTTTCTAGCATATACTGTACTAGTTTAGTGGGCCCAGAAAACCAACAGACCAATTGCATGTGTTCCAGTCGTCTCATGTGATGCTGCTCAGCCAATCAAATCTGTGCATTTTCATGCATATGTTCCTCACTGAACAAGAGAAACTATGAAGTGGTTTATGAGAGGGAATGAAAGAGAGGAGGAGGTATTAAAACTGTTCAATTGTTAAAATGTTTGCTCCAGTTTGATGTGAAAACTGTTGAAATATTATTTGTCAGTTGTTGACTAAAACATATCTTGATACAATTATACATTAGGCTACTGAATAATAACCCAAATTAGTCGTCAAGATGTTCCAGATCGTTGCTTTGGGAAATTTTCTCTAACTGGACTTTTAATTGAATACCCCTGTTATAGCTCAACGTTAGCTTGGCCACACTGGCCTAATGTTCGCTAGCTAGCTAGAAAAGCATGCACTTGCGGCCATAGAGCACATCAAAACTAAATGCCACTTTTAATACTCTGAAAGCTGCATATAAACGCATTAAAAAGCAATCTAATATTTTACATGAATAAATAACGTGCTGATACTTTTGTAAAGAAGTTTGGTGTTGCTCTGGAGAGCATATCAGCAGACTTTAGAGGGTCATACATAGGAACGTCTTGTAAGTCAGCAGGTATTAAATCATTTAATAACGCAGGCATTTCGAGGAAGAAACTCTGCCTTCTACGGTCACAGATCATACCACAAATTGCATTTGTCATACGAAGTGGACCAGTGAATTAAGTGAGCGACAATTGCAAACATGCAGCTTATGTTTACAGAATCTCTATGTATCTTTATGAATTAATTAATTAATGTATATATATTCCTACATTCTACCTAAAAAAGTTCAACATATCAAAAGGTGTATATTGTCCTCCATAACCAGCAAAGACTTGATGACACTTACAGGTAATCAACAAGATACTTTTCACAAATTATCACCATCCATTTAAAAATTTAGTTCACGACAATAGAACCCTGTGGTAAAGGCTAAACAGTGTTCTTTAGGAAAAACGAAAATCCATAGCACTTTGTTTCCTTCTTTTTGGAGGGCAGCTGTGTACTAGTAGAAAGTATCCAGTCCTACAGTTTTGTCAGTGCTCACGTTTTGCACAGCTAGCAAAATGGCAGAGAGGAGAGCCTTTATGTTGTGGAAGTAAGTAAAGAATTGACCTCTGGTTTCTTATTGAATACTGATGTACTGTTATCTACATGAGCCTGTGTTTTATTGTTTCCAGCTCTGCCGTATATACCTCTGCAGTTTGCAGTCAGATCATTACCAGCCAAAAGGCTGCATAGCTGCCACCTGTCAGGTACCCTTGGTTTCTGTTTACGTTCATGTACTTAAAATAATTAAACTGACACGATTTATTCATTCACCTGTTTTGAAAACACACGAAATAGCTAAGTTGTTAAACCTTTATTGCATTAAGATAATCCTAAATCTAACTACAATTTTCTTTTCTTTTCTTGCCTTAACTAGACAGGTAACCAAACTTTTAGCATCGCACTTAGCATAAATGTTTGCTTTGTAGACATTTATTTTGTGATGTAGAGGGAGCACAAACTGCTGTGATTAGTAGCCCAGTCTCTTGCATGGCAATTCACCTCTGGTGTGTTAAAGATTTGGAGCTCATTTAACAGAATTGTATAACACAGAGTTGGACCTGTTGGAGCAACCTAATGCAACCATGCAAATATATTTACTTATCCAAGGATAAACTGGAGATAAGAGCATATCAAAGACACAATCTTTACGGTTCAAGATTAAATCTAATACATTGTCTATTAACTGCGTTACCAATAATTTGGTAATAAGTACTAAACTGACCATTAGCCCCATTACCGTTAATGTTTGTTCTTTGTTGATGCTACACTGTAATTACTGCCTGGAAGTAAATTTGATAAAACATTTACATTTAAACAAAATGCTAAAGCTCATAAGCTATATTCCAGCGACATAATTTTCCTTGTAAGATTTTTTGTTTTAGCAGACACATGCTCCATACCATAGCAAAACACTTGAAAAAACCTTTATAGTAAAGGTGGGATAGGTAACATTGAAGAAACAATAAGAGACAGATTTTTTAAATATATATAATATCCAACCGGGGGAAAAAATCCCTCACCCTACCTTTGGGCCTGCCTCCAAAGCCAGTCAAAACACATTTTCATGTGCAATGAGTGCACGGGCATAGTGTGTGTGTGTAGGTAGACAGGCACATAGGACGTTTTCAGTCAGGCCGAAAGAAATGATTGGCTGGGCTTATTACAGGCCTGCGACAACAATTTCTTTTATTAGTGTAATCTGCATTAAAAGTGAATGCAGTAGCACAAGCCCCCTCCAGCAGTTGTCCAAACATAAACCGGATCTTTAAACCTGAAGAGTGCAGTCAAATGTGGAACTTCTAAAAACATTTGTTGAAACTGTTTTTGTGTGACAATATGACGAAAGAGAACTGTTGTAGGGGAGGGGACGGTGCAGTGAATAAGACACATGTCTTTGGTGTGAGAAACCCGGGTTCAATTCCCCACTGAACAGATCCACCAATGTGTCCCTGAGCAAGACACTTAACCCCTAGTTTCTCCAGAGGTCGCTTTGAATAAAAGCATTAGCTAAAATTAATAAATGTAAATGTTGTAGTTAAATCTGTGACAGTTTAAGTCTGTAATACAAAGTGAGATTGACAGCTTAACCAGGGAATGGATTAGATATAATCTGGTGATTTTGTATCCAGTTTGTTAAATCTGTGGTATCTGTAGCATGTCCTTGATTGATTTCTTAGCAAAGTTTGTGGTTCTACTGAACTGAATTTTCTTCATTGTCACGATTTTATCTCTTCATTACCATTCTCTTCCTTACACAAACAATGTTATGGATTATGGCATACAAACAAAGGTCAGCCAATTTCAGATATGATTGCTGTCTGACTGAAATGACGCATGTGGTTCTTTGTTCTTTCCTAAGGGAATGGACTGGATAATGCATCTCTAAAAAGCCCATATTTGATTATTTATTTACCTTTTGCAATTGCCTACTGTTGCTTATGTTTTGAGTGCTTGGAAAACACTTTGTGCTTATTGGCTGAAAAGTGCTCTATAAATAAAAGTATTATTGCTCTTAAGTCCTCAACCTCAGAAACCTCAACAGTCATTTGAGGTTTCCTAGTAGCCATGTAGGCAGTGTGTAACCACATATATGACCTGGACAGCACTGTTGTGTAACCTGACAATCTTCTATTTTTCATTTATCCCTGAAGCTTTTTCCAGACCCTGGTGCATGTATATTACATATGGCAGACTAAAATGGGAGCAATTTACATCACAATCAAACAGCGCCAAATACATTTACTGTGTTCAGAAAGCTGTTATATAACTCTTAAGTAAGATGGACAGCCTCAAGCACCACACAAACAAAGATGCATCTAAGTGACGGATTTATTTTGTTTTCATACTTATTCTACACATGCATGTTTGTTGTGATTGTGAAATAAACATCCAGTCCAGTCTACAGATAACACTGAAAAAAGGTGAAATAGTTCAAGCAGTTCAATAAACAGTATTAAGTTCTGGTTTTTACTCGTTTTTCATATCATCATATTGAGCTCTCAGCACTGAAATGGCAATTTTGTCCTCCTTCGCCTCGACTGAACAGTCAGACACCTGCTGTCGGAGGCTCAGCCTGTCCACAGTTGCCCTCCTTTTCACCAGTGGTCATCCCTGTTTTAGGGGATAAAGCAGTGGTAGTACATTTCAAAGACTCTGTTTTCGCTGTGTTAGTTTCCAGGGCTGACATCACTGGGGCTTTGCGGCAGCAGCTCCTCAGCCCCTTGCGGAAACGTATGGCGAACAGGCCGTAGATGATGGGGTCCAGGCAAGCATTGAAAAGCCCAAAGATGAACAGGATGTGGGTGAGGGAGTGAGAGACTTTTCCCTCCAGGTCATCTGGGAAGAACCAGTACCACAAACCCAACAGGTAGTATGGAGTCCAGCAGACTATGAAGCAAATCACTATGACAATGCTCATTTTCAGAGTTCTCATTCTAGCTTTTGGGATGTTGTTCTTTGAGCAACGGAGATGTGGCTCATTTGAGGACACTGGCGGAAAGAAAGAAAGAAAGAAAGTCAGGTAATAATGGGCAGCTGGGTTGTGAGCATGCAAAGTAATAACTTCAACCTTTTGTTTAAATAAATGCATCATCTTTTTCTGATGCACTCATCTATGTTCTCACCAACCAAACACACACTTAGCTGTGAACTTACAGTCCTTTTTTGTCATCCGTTTGGAGATCTGGATGAAGATCCTGGTGTAGCAGATAATCATTATGACCAGTGGCAGCAGGAAGAGGCAGGAGAAGGTGAACATGTTGTAGGCTGTTTCCTGCCAGTGAGTGACAAAGCTCCCCCTAGTGGTGCACTGAGTAAAGTTTGCTGGATAGGTGATGGTCACATTATGGAAAATGAACATCTGTAAAATTAAACATTCATTAGGATAGCATTTAGCTGGCAGCAATATGATCTGTGTCCTGTCTGTTTGGCGGAAGTGAGATAGAAAGATTAAAGCATTAAGAAATTCTGATATCCCAGTGGTTTGAGCAAAAGCCCAGTATCCCCAGGAATTACATTCATGAAGGTCACATGATTTACTTCCAAATGCCAGCATTCGATGGAAATGACAAATGTGTCCTTTACCTATTGTGGCAAAAACTAAAGATGTGAACCTCGAGGTGGCTGATCAATTGATTGTCTGAGTTCACATGGGGGAAATTTGCATGTTACAGCAGCATGTTACAGAATAGCAGTAAGTTGAAGTGAAGCAGATAATGAAAAAAACACAGTAGAAATCCAAACATATAAATAATAAGAAATTGTACAAATAATGTAACTTCATACTAGATTATTCTGTGGTCTTACATGTTATGTCATTTCAGCCCGCACAACTGACAGACTGGAAATGAGAAGCTGCTTTTGTCTTCCTCTTTATGAAATAAAAGAGCTACTGTTTCAAATAAAATGTAATGGTAACTCTGCCACAGTAATTGTTTTATAGTAAATTTATGAAGGCCTACTGTGCAAAAATGAAAAGTGTAGCAACAGTAACTATGTGGTGCTTAGAGAATGATTGGTTGGTGTTGACTTTCTGAAATATTTAGTCATTTCAGGATAATTTTTCATAATTTTTGCCAATTATTTTTTTGATTAATCAGTTAATAATTTTATCTATAAAATGTCCAAAGATAGTGTAAAAGGGCGCATTATAATTTCCCATAGCCCAAGGCAGGACGTATTTGACCTATTAAAATAGCTTTTGTGCTATATGACAAAGAAAATCATTAAATCCTCATTTTAGAAGCGGAGGACAGGGAATGTTTGGTATTTTTGCTTGAAAAATGACTTAAAATGATTAATTGATTATCAAAATAATTGCAGATTAATTTTCTGGCAATCAGCTGATTGATTTATGACCTGATCATTTCAGATCTAATCTTATTGTATTTGCTATGAGTAGAAAACAGAATCAGATATCAGCCAATTGGCAAGTAGGTTTCACATGCAAGGAATTTGTCTTTATATTTTGGTGCACTGTTACTAACAAAGACAAAATATCGCAATATGTAACATATATTTGTATCACCACACTTCTGCTTTTATCTCACAGCAGTGAAGCATCTATTCTGCCAGGATGAAGGATTCCCATCCTCCTGTAATTCAATGATAGAGCCAGTAATCCCTAGCAGGCCCCGTGGGGCCCTTAAATCATGCATATTTTCGTGCATCTCTAGAAAATGCCACATTTTATGTAAATGCACAGACACATGTAAATAGAGAGAATGATGAAATATGTATGAGAATTTATTTCAAGTAAATGTAAAGCCAGATTTGAATGACCTCTAACATGCGTAGTTTGCCTACAGTTTAATACCTGTATGAGATAGAGAAAATATATGCAGATCTAATCATCTAAAGGTAAAGGTATAGCCTGCTCACTGTAATATGTACGGAGCATGGAGGAGAGGTTTCAGTGGAGCAAGGAAACACAAGAGAGAAACAATCTCTCCCATAACATACTTCTCTCTAATCATTTGCCTCAAAGTGTCTGTGTTTCTTGTCAAACCAGTGTTACCTGGCCTTACCTGAGGGATTGAGAACAAGGCACTCATAGTCCACGCGACCATCAGCATGACCCTATTCCTTTGGCGGGCCATGCTGATGGCCAGAGGGTTGAGGATAGCCGACTGTCTGTCCAGACTAATCACCACTGTGACAAATGCACAGGAGTACATGGCCTGTAGCTTGAGGAACATCAGGAACCTGCAAGCCAGGTCGCCGGCCAGCCACTGAACCGTAATGTTCCAGACTGCGTCCACGGGCATCACGATGAAAGTAACCAAGAGATCAGCTGCAGTCAAGTTGATTATCAGCACTCGGACATGGGATTTGTGCTTGTGGCCATTGGCTGCCCACAGCACAGCCAAATTACAGAAAGTGGAAATGCCGCACAAGATGAAGGTAATGATCACTCTGACTTTGGCCGCAGTGGAAAATGTAGGCAGCTGCGGCGCACTTTCCCCTGATGTCCAGTTACAGTGAGGAGCAGGCCGGTCACAGCTGGCATTGAGCTCAGATCCTGAGCTCTGCTGATACATGATGACTGGAGCATCACAACAGGAGGAGGCATTCATTTTCTGACCCTCACCAAGGAGTCAGCAATTTGTTCCGTTACATGGAGGCTGGTGAAGCCAGAGGGAGATAAGGCAAAAATATTTACATGAACCTTAAGCAAGTTGGTGCAAAAGATTAATCCGCATGCATTTGCATAAAAAGACTACAAATAAGTTCTGTGAGCAGTGGCTGACAGAGAAGGGGCACATCTCTCTATTACCATGCCGATAGCCTCTAACAAATCACATTATGTATTTTAAAATGAATTACACTCTAATGACAATATTCTCTTATGTAACAAAAAAAGAAGGAAATGGTTTAAACAAACTTTGCTCGTGTTTATTTTCTGTGGTGAGATTCATCCTGGTATTTATAATACAAAACATTTCCATTTAGCAACCTTGTGCCATACAAGTCTTGCAAAGAATAAAAGCTTAATAATGACCTCTAATTTGGAAAATGTATCATTTTAATGATTCATTTAAAGATTAAATCAACAGTTAGGACTCACAAAATGAATGATGTTATTATGATGGATTCTATTTTGCTCCTACGTTGAATACCAAAAAATATTTAGAAACCAAAGGGTTATTTAATTGTGTTACTTGTTACTTGACGCGTTACTTCACACTATTACTGCGTACTTCCTCTCTCTCTCTTTGTGTGTGTATGGCAATAGCGCAAGAATATATGTGTATTAATAAATGAATGCAAGAAATAGCTGCAAGACACTCACATTAACGTCCGTGTTATCTTGGAGCGATGTACTTCCCACATCACAAAGTGATATCCTCTTTATGGAAGTTCCAGACCCTGCTGCGGCTCCATCTCCCTGCTGGACTCCTTATGATGAATACAGAGTTTCTGAGTGGTCTGTTAGTCAGTCTGGAGAGTCCGTCTTTTACATCAGTGTTTCTGCGGGATTTTTGCAGACGCATTGTGTACCTTCTCCCTTCGCTGTGCGCGCCAGTCCCGGTGGGCGCGGCTACGAGCGCCACCGCGTCCCAGGAGCGTCGGTTCAACGAGCTTTAATACGAGCTCTTCTAATTTTAATCCTGTCAGACTAAATGTAATGAGACACCGCAATCCCTGTTAGCGGAATTTTCATCGTGAGACCAAACCTGCTCTTATTAACTGCATTAATTATGTCTGGCAAGCCTATATGCTACGAGTGGACAAAATTACAAGAATATAGGCCTATGTACAACATAAACTAATGCAATCCAGTCTTAAAGCTGTTGTTTAGTGTTTGTTGACACTAAACAACAGCTGTCAGTGAGCGGTTGTTGAATTTACACTGTAGTCGTTTTTTTAAGGCCATATGTTTTATTGTTGCATGACAGAGCATATCCAATGTGATAAGTTCCATCCGTAAGCCTTTCTCATAGGCTACACAGTGTTCTTGTTTTCTTTGTCAAAGCAGAAACCTCTTCCTGGCTTACATTCCTATTCCATTAGTTGCATTGCTCAAATAAGCAAATAACAGAAAGAATATTTAGAGGAGATGGTCCTCCTCCAGCTGCTGTTTGCCATCTGCTGTGAGGTTTAACACAAGTAGCTCAGTACACTGGTTCCCTCATTGTGTTGACCATCTTGATACAGTCTCCACAGCACAAAGTGGATCATCACAGTGTAAGGAAAGAAATACTTCACTATACTTTATTTTATTTCCAGTACATCTACAATACGACTCAGAGTATTAGGGGGTGGCTTCAAAGTAGTAGTATTATTATATATTTTATATATATGATTGCACTCTTTTACAATTCATTTCCGGGCTGACATTTGCAGCCAGCCACTGCAATGCCTTGCACTAATGCAGTAGCCTACTTGACGTTTAACTGATCTTAATGGGCCAGGCAGTTATATGTAATAGATGCAGAAATGAGTGAGTCTCGTCACACACGCAGTGCACTTGCCCATTTCAGCTCCTCGACACATTGCATAATCTGAGCTCTTTATATGAAGTAACAAAAGATCTTATATGTGCCTCCCATAGCATGCAGGCGCTTAAGAAAAAAAGAAAAGGTGCTTAGTGGAAGACATTTCTAAAAATAACACAGCAAGGAGTTAAAGATTTAGTTCAGTTTATAAAAAAAAAAACAGTGCTGATGTAAACCTAGTTATTTTGATATCATTAAAGATGTATAGCTGATACAAAGTTTGAAACCTTAAGTCTTGTTTTTTTATTTAGAAAAGGAATACTATATTAAGGTCATATTATGCTCATTTTTAGGTTCATAATTTTATTTAGAGGGTTGTCTTAGAACAGGTTTATATGGTTTCATTTTCAATAAACACCATATTTTTTCTCATACTGCACATTGCTGCAGCTCCTCTTTTTACCCTGTGTGTTGAACGCTTTGTTTTAGCTATAGAGTGATACATCTTACTTCTACAAGAATTTTGTTGGGAGTTGCACATGCACAGTACCTAGTAAAGGACTACTAGCCAATCAGAAGCAGAGAAGGGCGGCTCAGTGAGAAGCTGGTAAACACGGCTTCGGTTCAGCTGTATATGTTCCCCTTACCAGCTTAGCAACATGGACTGGAGCAAGAGTTTCAGAGTGGTGAGTTATTAATTTGTAACAACAAACTTTCTTGTATCTTGTATCACGGTAGCAATTTTATGTCCATTGACTGCCTGGAGGGTAGCTAATCTAATGGAAGGGAGGAGAGGCAGCCAGCGGACTTCTTGTCACTGGGGGCGGCTGTGGGGCAAGATATTGAACCCCGAACTGCCCCTGGTGGCTGTTCCACCAGTGTATCAATGTGTGTGAATGGTAAATGTGATGTAGTGTAAAAGCGCTTTGGTTGCAAAGACTAGAAAGGCGCTATACAAATACGGAGCATTTACATTTACTGTGTGCTGCAGCTCAGAGTGTTTTTCCACCGGTGTTTTTCAGGGAGTGCCTGACTAGCCACTAGGCAAAAATGATGTGTTTTTTAATGTTTTTTGTGACGTTGGCATATAGCGGGAGAAAAGTCGGGACTACAAACGAGCTGTTTTCAGGCAGTTCAGAGCAGAGTTTTCTGTGGGAGATGGGAACACACTTTGGGCTGGACTTTGGGCTTTTTCACTTTGCAAACCTGTTACATGCACAAAAAAGTATATAACTCAATAAAGGACAGGAAAAAAGCCTAAAAGCATAATATGACCTCTTTAATGTTTAATAATTTTCCACTTATTAGATAATAGAGAAGAGCGACAGAAATGATGTTGAGACAGGATGACATTGTGGGAAAGGTTATGACCTGGATTCAAACCAACTAGGCTATGACGTAGACTGCTAAGCTCTCACCGTGCTGCCCTTGTGTTACTGTGGATGACTGTTGACAACATGCTAAGGCATCAACTTTGAACAGAAGAGAGGAAGGAATCTGTTTATTCCCCTCTGACCACAGATAGTGGCACCTGAGCACCAACGCATGAGATAAAGTAGTAATATATGTAATATAAGAGCAACTTTGGTTTGAATCTATAAGGACCTGCATGTCTTTCTGTCTACAAATGTTGTTTTTGTTTATGGTGTGCACTGAACACTGTAGTCTGTGTCTGTTTTTTAGTTTTTTGCTGAGCTCTTTTTGTTAATGCTTGTTGAGAGCATTGTAAGACCGAAGTCAAATTCCTCAGATCTGTACCTGGTCATTAAAAATGATTCTGATATCATTCAGTTTCTACCGCACCTCATAACAGAAAGTAGTTTTGACATATTTGTTGTATTCTTGGAAACTAAACTAAAACGCTCTTAAAGGAGAGGAAATTATTAAACCATCACATATGCTGTTCAGCGAATTCAGTCATGTAAGCGCTCGGTAATTCTCCGTCTTTGTCCAAACTCTCTTCAGAAATTCAAATAAGACATTCAATTACAACATGCTGTCTTTCATCTAGGTAGAATCTAGTACTTCATTTAACCACCACCAACCGGATGAAAAAGGTTCTTTGATAAATAAATGCACATTTTTAATTATCGGACATGGGACAGTAGCCATGGAGAGGATAAAACAGACATGGTGATGTGTCACTGCCTTACCTCAGCAACACGCCCTCCTCTATTCAATCCACAGCAGTGGCTTATCAACAGACTAGCCGTTCAAAGGGATGGAGCACCTGATTTGTGCTGGCTGTTGGTTTATGCAGATGTCAGACTATGGGCTACTGTCCAAACAGGCTGTGACCTTCCCAGCTCCACAGACATCAGACTCATTTTCATGTTAATCCAAAGCAATTGTATGGTAAGAGCATTAAGGCCAAGTATTTCTCATTGCTTCACTGTGCTCTTGCTGAACCCCCTCCCCTTCCACAACCAACACTTATGATCTGATCTAAGTAAATCCTTAGTAATTGTTTAAATAATAGTTGGCCACAAGGCAAGGCTTTGTAATAATGACCTACATGTGTGCCAGATGGGATTTAACAGATTATATATTGATATTATATCATAGCATCAGAAGTCAGATGTGCACTCGCAGTAAATGCCTAAAAACATAAGTGATGAATCCAGTGCTAATCTGACAAACGTGATTAGCCCATTTTATCCCCGATAGCACAAATGTGTACATAGAGGATCTAGTATGAAGATGTGAAGCTCCGATATGTAGTTCCCACCTGCATACGTCAATTTCAATAGAATTTCCTCTACCGTGCATGTAAGTCCATCCACAATAATTTGTTGTTGTTTTTTCAACTGATGTGTAACAACCACATCATATCATTGAATCAATCAATCTAATAAAACCATTATATGTTGACGAGCCATGACTGACCACAGTCGTTGGACAACAATGAAAACTAAATGGCAAAGGTAATACAATTATTATAACATTATTATAGGAAATTCAATACGCTGATCAAATTGTTTCAACAGCAACCAGAGTGGATGTGCCTAAAGAAGCTGTTCCACTAATGGACATCAGCTGGTGACGCCTCAAAATCTGACCGTATTCAACCATCCATGTAAAACACTGTAGCAGCATTAATGCAGCGTTTACAAATCCAATCTATCCAATAAATAAACATTTTAAGACTGAGCATTTCATTATCTGTGGACAGGCGATTCCTGAATTGAAGGTCACCTGAATTGAACGATTTTATTGAATAATTTTACATTCAGCCTGCTGGAGCAAAGTCAAACTTGACTAAAAGCTGAGCTGACATGCTCAGCGTAAACAGATTTGCTTTAAAGTGCAGCGTAATCACATTGAAGAGATGGGCGGCCAGGATGAGCCAAGGTTTCTTAGCCTATAACAGGTACTCTGTTTGAGGATGTGAGGAGTTCTCCCATCTTCAGATCTGTCTCTGCTATATTGTCTTTATTTTGCAGGTTTGTTTGGTGCTTTTGCAAAGCGTCTGCCCTTATACACATAAGCTACACATCCAGTGAGTGGACTTTTTGTTCTTTTTTCTTTGGGCTGCACACTTTGATTGATGGCTGGTAGTTTTTTTCTATTAGCCTATTTATTTTATATCACTAACCTCAGCTATCATTTCATCATGTTGGGTTATCATTCTGTTTTCAAATGGATACTTGTTTCTCCTATAATAAGTCTTGTTGCTTGTAATTTTACTTTAGCCTATAGTAAGTGAAGATTATTCTAGTATTTGTAATGTTATGATGAAGAATATATATATCGCACATTACAGAGTTTACCTCAATGACATTAAGATAATCCATTGATAATCCATAAGACATGGATATAAATAATAAAATACTTAAAGAAATGACAAATGAAAGTGAGTGAAGTAAGTTCAGAAGAATCCCCTAACCATCCCAGTGCCTGTGCAATAATATGAACTATACTGCAGTGTACTATGTGAACATCTAATGCTGTTTTAGGAGGTGATTGTAGCAGAATGGTAATCAGAGAGGTAAGATAGGTCAAGATGTAAACAGAGCATAAAATCAACACTAGTACATAC